CCATTTTTTGGTTGCAGCCATCATTGTTGTTTGGCGGGCCCGGGCTGGGGATTTGAACCCGCCACCTTAGGTGTATGTGGCTGGCGCCTTAGCCGCGTGAGCCACAGGCGCTGAGCCCATCCAATTTATTGTTAAACTCATTAAAGAGAAGAGTGTCATGATCAGAGGCCTTGGAATGCACTACCAGAAATTTCCCTCTATTAATCAGAACTGTACGTTTGTACTTATTCAAAAATATCCTTGAATCCTTTTCTCCCATTTCTCCATGAATTTTTAAAAAAATAAGATAAACCATGGATATACTTTGGTGAAGTCCATATTTATGCCTTCTGTGTAAAATCCTGATTGGCCATTGCAGCAGACATTTTTAGGAAAGAAATGAGGGTATTACCTCTTAAGTAAAAACTGAATTTAGGGCTGTGCCTGTGGCTCAAAGGAGTAGGGTGCCAGCCCCATATGCCGGAGGTGGTAGGTTCAAACCCAGCCCTGGCCAAAAACTGCAAAAAAACAAAAAAAAAACCCTCAATTTATAGATTAATGTTACATGTTATAGGCATTTTTCCATCTTGTCTTTTGGTTTGCTTAAAAATTTTAAGGCTCTAAAATCAAATTATGGCTAAATGTTACAAAATAAAATTTAGTATGTAGCTCAAAATAGAATTTGGGTTCTTTATTTTTCTTTAGAAATTATATTTGTTACACGTTATAGCAGTTAATTGCCATCTGCTAGTCTCAGATTTTCTGGTGAAACTGTTGATACAGGGTTTATAAATTGAGCTATCACAGCTTTTTATCTTTTTAATTCATATATATTCTGCACCCCAAAATCTTGAAAAAGGGAAGTGAGACAGAATTTTAAAATGGGAAGTCATAGGGAAAGTAAAACGAAGGAAAAAAAGAAAAGATTACAGAAGATAAGGTGAAGTTAACACATAAGGTTTGCCTTAGTATCTACTTTTAACAAAGTTGATACTAAACACTAGCAGCTAAAGTGAAAGAAAAGGTCATTTAAGATTTAGTGTCCAGAGGCGGCACTTGTGGCTCAAAGGAGTAGAGCACTGGCCCCATACACTAGAGGTGGTGGGTTCAAACCTTGGTCAAAAACTGCAAAAAAAAAAAAAAAAAAAAAAGGATTTAGTGTCCATAGAAACAAACCAGTTACTCAATTCATACATGATTACTGTTGATCCACAGATCAGAAAGTAAGTCATGTGTTGAGAACTCAAAAAGACCTTCCAATGTTTATAAGCAAAAGCCTCTCAAATAAGGTTAATCAGGCTCTTTGGTACAGTGCCCTCAAAGCAGTTGGTGCTAAAGTACAGGACTAGTATATAGTTTAATGCGATGATTTGCTAAAATGGTTCAAGTGGATAATTCTCCCTGGTCATTGGTTTACTCCTGATAAAGGGTTGGATTGTGGATAGTAAAACAAGTCCTTATTCAGATGAGCACCACTATTTTCTCTGAAGGTTTATAAACAGACCAAACCATAAAAAAACAAAAAAAAACCTAGCCTTGTCCTTAGTTATTCTGATTCAGTTTATGTA